CGCAAATTTGCAGGGTTGAAAAGTTGTTTTGCTATAATTAAGGGAGAGGAACTTATACTTCATTTCAATTCTAAAAGTTTAGATTGAAAATTTTAATCAAATTTAGTCAAGGATTTATATGAATACCATGTTGAAATGATTCAACATTGGAAGTTCTATATATGGAAATATTATAGCAAAAGACTGGTCAAGTATCATGTCTTTATGTAAGACATTATGAGTCGTATCCTATATGCTTCGGTATAGGATCGATTGCATATGCCATAATATTCATGTGTTATAATTTTCCAAATGCCTAGGGTATTAAGAGGGAAAAATGACTAGAACTGGATATGACTAAAGTTATTAAACAACTGCTAAGAAAAATTCAAGGTTCGCCAAAGATTGGTTGCTTATGGATAGTTAGAAGTATAGTAATGGATGGACCATATTGACATTATTATGAATAGACAGGATTCTATTAACAATGAGTTGTCATATGTCAATTATGGAAATGTTTCCGTAATGGGAGTTGGATATCAAGAATCTATGAGAAAGTTAGAAACTTTTATGCAAGAAGGATGTTCAAAGGAGTGTGCTTTGAATATGAGACTTCGGATCTATGGAATTGTCTTGTAACAATCTCCAATGGAAAGTTTTGTAATTGACAAAGTCTCTGTGACTTGTGTACATAGTCATTACAAAAGGATCACTGCATATAAGTTTAGAGTATAACAAATTATAGTAAGTGGCAAGAACTTGGTATTCTTACACTTACGATAAGGATTTGGAATTGTGAAATGAGTATCATTGGAAGTGTTTACAATTGATCTATTTCACAAAGTAAGGACCGTAGGTAAACATAATGTGCATGCTTGGAGCATGGGATATCTGTTGTTTTAATTCAAGTATTAGTTGATAAATCGAAACAATATACAATGAATAATGTGTAATCAATATGGTGATTAAATAAAAGGTGTTTTATTTATACTCAAAAGTTTTGGGGCCATATAGGATTAGTATTATTCTTGTGTTTCACTTTGCATGTTTTGACTTCCCGAATAATAAGATTATTCAAACCATCCACAGTCGATCATACTTTGGAAGTAGGTAATGAGGCTAGACTGTCATGAGTTGTCTTGTAGATTGGCTAATGCATTAGACATAGCAAAAGTTTGCTACACCATTCATGAGTGCTCCTGAAATAAGATTTGAGTATCGGATTCAACCCGCGCTAACCTGAATTACTTCATGGAATTTATCACGAGTAATTGTGAGACAATAATATCATATAATCTTCAAACTAAGATATATGAGTTTTTGACTACGAGTTGGTTGTGCATTGATGATACGAAAATGCATCAGTAACTTGATGTTATAAAACGTGTCGTTCTGCATGATTTGATGAGTAGTTAGTACAAGCATATAAATGTCGAAGTTTATATGTTCCTTTTATCCTAAGAGGATTGATTAAAAGCGATATCTTGGGCCCCTCGATGATTCTGTTTTGACTATGTGCCGGACCCGGTCAGAACTAAATTGATGTGTTAAGTTTTGTTCTATGTCAGACGAATCGGAAATCGGGAAACAAATTGCAGGACCATAAGTATGACTATGTTCCATGTATATGTCACATATATATCTTGAGAACAGAGGAATAAATGATCCCTTAACAGAAGGACGTGTCACTGACTAGGTCAGAGTTCGACAGCGGCTTTTGAAAGCTTACGATTGCTAAGTTAGATCCCGAAGTCGCATTGGCAGCTATAGTTATTAGACTTATCCAAGTGGGAGACTGTTGGATTTAGTGTCTAAGTCCAAAACTATAACTGGGATGTACTTAACCCGATTGTAGCATGGTCCTTTTGGGTTGCCTTCACCAGTGTAATTTGATAGGATGGACTCTTGAGAATAAGGTTATTTATGATTTACTAATATATTACAAGTATAATATATTAATATGAAATCATATTATTTAATTTGTATTGATCAAGAATTAATTTGGTGATCAAAAGAGACTAATTAAATGTACGGGGATTGATTCTGTAAATCAATGATTCTTATGGTGTGGGCTAATGATCCATGGTTATTTAGGATGGGCTAAACCAATAAGATAGTCCATAGAGGTTATCCCATGGAGCCTAAGTAATATGAAAGGTCATTTGGGTTTACAAGGTGTAACCCTAGCATTTGCTACACTATAAATAAACCCCCCCTAAAGCCAAAATCGGTGGCCACAACATTCTTGGAGAGTGCGTATTGATTTTGTGCTAAGTAACTTATTCTCTCAAGCCTCCTCTTGCATATTGGTGTTTGTGAACCTTTAGAGGCATCACACTTGAGGTGATCAAGCTTTCAAAGGTCAAGAACTAGAAGTCCTTCTAAGAGGTAAGTCATCTAACTAGTTGTATTGTTCATTTGACAATTTGTATGCTAGTTAGGACATATGCTTTGGAAAAATGAAAATATGCATGTATAATTAGACAAAACATAGATCCAAAGCATTTAGGGTTGCATGTGCATCATAGGAGTGCTATAGTGCTCAAAACCCAACAATATGTGTGTCGACATGGTGTTTGTGTGGTTGGGTTGAGGCGGTCATGCTTTGTGCTGAAGGCCAACTAGGGGTGGCAACTCTCGACCCAACCTGTAACCCGACACTGACCTAACCCGAAAATATACGGGTTTGGGTTGACATTTTGACCCGTCAACCCGCCAACCCACCAACCCGTTTATTTCATGGGTTGGGTTGGGTTATTTGTTTGGGTTCGCGGGTCAACCCGCCAACCCGTATATATATATATATATATATATATATATATATATATATATATATATATATATATATATATATATATCTATATATAAATATATATATATATATATTACATTTAAAAAAAATGATATATTTAATTATTAATGAAATTTGATTTCCATCCGTATTCGTAATATTTCGTATCATTATATTCCTTCCGTATTCGTATGTGACTAATTTGCGTTTGCGGTTCGTTAATCAAAAAAAGAAAAAATACATGTCGTTATTTTTAGATACTCACAAGTCACGAGTGAATAACACATCCATTTTCTATGAATGTTTTCATATTTCATTTTTATTTGGATGTTATTGACTTTATGAATTATTTTTGAAAACCTTTTTTGTATGTTAATTACTTTAATCATTTTATAAATTTATTTTGAAAAAACCTCATTTTTTAAAATACGTTGCTTATTTATTAAACGAGTTATATGGGTTAGGTTTGACCCATTAACTTGTGAACCCGCGAACCCATATACTTAAACGGGTTAAATAGGTTGGGTTGGGTTGAGGTTTCCAACCCACCAACCCGTCAACCCATATATTATATGGGTTGGGTTGAGTTTATGTTTTCTGACCCGCCAACACACCAACCCGTGACCCGCCAACCCGAACCCAACCCAATTGCCAGGCTTAAGGCCAACAGACCCAGGGTGTCCCGGATAGACTGAAGGCTGGTGGGGCGTACCAGTCAGGCCGAAGGCCCGGAGAACGGTCCAGATAGGCTGAAGGCCCGATGAGGCGTACCAGTCATGCTGAAGGTTTTGTGAGCCTACCAGATAGATTGTAGGTCAGTGGGGCATTACAGTCAGAACGAAGGCTCTGTGAGCGTACCAGATAGACTGTAGGCCGGTGGGGTGTTTTAGTCAGACTGAAGGCTCTGTGAGCATACCAGATAGACTGTAGGCCAGTGGGGCGTTCCAGACAAACTGAAGGCTTTGTGAGCATGCCAGATAGATTGTAGGTCGGTGGGGCGTTCCAGTCAGACTGAAGGCTCTGTGGCCGTACCAGATAGACTGTAGGCTGATGGGGTGTTCCAGTCATGCTGGAGGCCCCTGTATGCATGTTGTTTGTTAGTATATGTTATATGTTTGTGTGGTGGTACTTTGGGGGAATTCACTAAGCTTTGTGCTTATATTTTTGATTAATGGTTTCAGGTACTTCAAAGAATCGTAGAAAGTCGTAGGCATGACCGTACACATCCTGATTTTATGTCATTGATCTTGGGAGACACTGATTTTTAAATAATGTTTTGGAAACAATATTTTATGAACACTTTAATTAGTAAATGAGTTGTTTTGAAAAGTTTTAATTGGTTGAAATTTTTGGGATGTTAAACTATTGAAGATTGGAGAGTAAGGAAACAACTCCATTGGTGACGGTGACACAGTAAGATTAAAATTTTGGAACAAGTAATTGTCGTTTATCTTGGTAGAGTTATACGTAGCCGCCAAAAAAAATAATGCTAAAAGGTTTCCATAAGACCATTTTTAACCCACGCATGTCCATTTTTCAGCATAAATGGAGTAAAAATTCGGTAAATAGTATTTTATCTTCAACCCTACTTCATTTTTTTATCTCAAAATGTATATCCTAGTATATATATATATATATATATATATATATATATATATATATATATATATATATATTCTATCTCTTTTTAATTAAAATAATATTAAATAAATAAGATTATATTTATAAAACACTTATAAATAAATATTATATATGTATTTATATAAACATTGTACATACAAACTTTTAAATAAATATTATACATGCATTTGTAGAAATATTACATATACACATTTTTAAATAAGTTTTTGTAAAATACGTTATTGTGTTTTAATTTTTCAGTATGTATTTAAATTTTTATATGAATTTCATAGACTATATATATATATATATATATATATATATATATATATATATATATATATATAGAGAGAGAGAGAGAGAGAGAGAGAGAGAGAGAGAGAAAGAGAGTTGTATGTTCAAATGAGAACATTTTTTAGCGTACAAGTTCAAAAAAAACGTGTCTTTATTTTTCAAGGGCTATTTAGGTAACTTTGTTCTTATGAGTTCAAACCCTGGTAGTGTAGTTCCTAAACCCACAATTCGTTGATTTTCTTGCAACTTCCATCTCCTTTGCGTTCGCAGCTATCTCTACAACCGAACCTCCATCAAGCCCTTAAATTCTCTATAAATGGAAGACAAAGTAGTCATCACTTCTTCATCCATTGAAGCCGGAATCGACTGTTGGGACCTTTGTTCTGGTGCAGAATATATCTGCTATCGTTCATGCGCCTCTCCTCCTCACGACCTTGTATCCGTCGCCGGACGCTTCTTTGTTTCTTCTTAGCTCCGTGATTCTTCCTCATCCTCTGGTTTTGTTCTCTTCTGTTCGTGGAACAAGGTAATTATTGCATTACATTTCTCTAAATGTTGCCTTTTTGTTTCGAATACTTTTTTCCATTAGATTTTCAACATACAGGGGAATTGCAAGGGAAATATGATGGCTTAATTCTTAATTACTTCTTGTTGTCTAGATTCTAATAGGAGTTAAATCACCCAACATTCACTACATTAAAACTATATAACTATTTATGTAGTTCATATAACTTTTTCATTTGAAAAGTATCAAATTTGCAACTTATTTTTGGTTTTCGTTGTTGCAGCCTCAGGTAGAAGTTAAGAGTTTTCCAGTTGAAACAATCAATCCTCTTGCTTGCAATAATGATGGCTCTTACATAATAGGAAGAGGAGTTTTCTGGTCATATCTACTTGTGGGAGGTGAGTTGACAATTCATTTTATTTTTTCTACTCATAAACCCATTCTTTGTTAAGAGCTGAGGGTATTTTTTAGCGATTTCTCCCCTTTTATCTAAATCACTCTTCAAATTATATTGATAATTCTATTATTTTGATTTACTGTATACATAAATGATCTTTTATTATAGGTTGCAACGGGTAGATTATTGAAGAAATGGCATGGCTATTATAGGCCTGTTACTTGCTTGATCTTTTCTAATGATCAGTTACTTTTGATTTCGAGATCCAATATTTTGTATTTTATTTGTAACAAACAGTAAGGGTATATGCTCATTGGGTTTTGCATTGGATGGATATCAATTGGTTGTCATACTTTTTCCTTCAACTAAATTTTATAATATAAATCATAAAATAACAATCCATAGATAAAAATATACTTATTCAAATAATTTTTCAAAAATAAGTTGGGCCTTAAATGCGGTGGTGATCTCTTAATATTAAGATTGGATTATTTTGTGAGCTTAGTTGTAAGCTTAAATTTGTTAAATTAAATAAAATTGGCTATAAGATCATGTGATTAAATACATATAATCACATATGAATAAATACATGAGAAAAATTATAGAATCGACAACACAAAAACGAATTTTTTGTATATATTTATTTAATCACATGTGATTATAGGTATTTAATCACATATGATTTATATGGACAAGCTTCGTTTTCACATTCTCTATTTAATATTTATTCCCGTATATTTAATCTAATGTGATTATAGGTATTTATTCACATATAATTTTATGTACACAAGATTCATTTTTGCATTCACGATTCAATAGTTGTTCTTTGTCCACATTAATCATATGTGATTAAATCCATATAATCACATGTGATTGTATACACGAGAATGAGCATTGAATCAAGAACGTGAAAATAAACACTTTCCAGAAAATAATCACATGTGATTAAACCCACCACCTGCCACCACCACCTACGAGACAAATTAAGGAATAAAAAACACGAAAATAAATATTGTCCACATAAATCAAATTTGATTAAATAAATATAATCACATGTAATTATATGTATCCAATCACATATGATTTATGTGGATAATATTCATTTTTGCATTCTTGATTTAATAATTGTTCTTTGTCAACTTTAATTATATGTGATTAAATAAATTTAATCAAGTGTGATTATATATATATATATATATATATATATATATATATATATATATATATATATATATATATATATATATATATATCTAATCACATATGGTTTTATTTGGAAAAAAACAAATATTTTCAATATAAACTATATGTGATTAGAATGGTGGGTGGTGGTAATGAGTGGTGGTGGTCGGTAGTGATGAATGGTGGTGGTAATGAGTGGTGGTGGTCGGTAACGGGCGGTGGTGGAGGTGGGTGGTGGTAATGAGTGGTGGTGGTCGGTAGTGATGAATGGTGGGTGGTGGTGATGGGTGTAGTGGTTGGTAGTGGTGATTGGTGGTGGTGGATGGTAGGTAGTGGTTGTGGATGGTGGTGGTGGGTGGTGGTGGCAGGTGGTGGTGTTTGGTGGTGGTAAGAGGTGGGTGGTGGTTTTGGTGGGTGGTGGGTGGAGGTTGTGGTGACGAATGGTGGAGAAGGTTGGTGGTGGTGCTGGTGGGGTGGGTTGTAGGTAGTGGTGGCGGGTGGTGGTGAGTGGTGATGGTGATGGCGGGTGGTGTTTTGGTGGGTGGTAGGTGGATGTTGTGGTGACGGATGGTGGTGATAGGTGGGGGTGGTGGTGGGGTGATTATGGTGGGTGGGGTGGTGGTGATGGGTTGTAGAGGTATGTGGTGATGGTGGTGGCGGATGGTGGTTTTGGTGGGTGGTAGTAGCGGGTGGTGATGGTCGGTAGTGATGAGTGGTGGTGCATGGTGGTGGGTGTGGTGGTTGGTAGTAGTGGCGGGTAGTGGTGATGGGTGATGGAGATGGGTGGGGTGGTGGTGATGGGTGGTGGAGGTAGGTGGTGATGGTGGTGGTTTTGGTGGGTGATGGGTGGGGGTAGGGGTAGCAGGCGGTGGTGGAGGTGGATTTTGGTGATTGGTGGTGGTGGTCGGTAGTGATGAATGGTGGGTGGTGGTGGTGATGGGTAGTGGATGTGGTGGTAGGTGGTAGTGGTTGGTAGGTGGTGATGGTGGTGGGGTGGTGGTGGAGGTGGGTGGTGGTTTTGGTGGGTGATGAGTGGGGGTGGAGGTAGCGGGTGGTTGTGGTGATGAATGGTGGTGGTCGGTAGTGATGAGTGGTGATGTATGGTGGTGGGTGTGGTGGTTGGTGGTGGTGGCGGGTGGTGGTGATGGGTGGTATAGGTGGTGGTGGTGGGTGGTGAGAGGTTTTGGTTAGTGGGTTTTTTAATTGTTTGTAACCATTTTTTTAATTTTTTGAATATTATTTTTTAATTTTAATTAAAAAAATTATACTGTCCAAATTTGTTCTCAAATGTTCTCGTATTAAGAAATGTTCTCGATTAAATGTTATGTTCAAATGAGAGCATTTTTTAGATTGAGAACATTTGTTAGCCTATAAGTTCAAAAAACACGTTTATGTAATATATCTATATATATATATATATTATATCTATATATATATATATATATATATATATATATATATATCTTAAACGTGGTATGAAATTCAAAAAATGTTATGAACAGTGAGGACAAATCTTAAACGTTTTTTTTAATTTAATTGGAATATTTAAATTTAATGTGAAAAAAATGATTAACATTTGTAATATGAGGGTTATTTATATAAGTATTAAAAAGGTGGAGGGTGATTATATAAAAGATGAAGGACATTTAGGTAATTCAATACACATTTGAAACGTTACCTCCATTAATTCATCGAACAAAAGAATCATGCAACACGCCTATTTATAAGTGAGTATTTTTTTAATTTTCGTTTTTAATTAATAACTTTTTTTTATCTTTGTAAAAAAATATAAAAAATCAAAGTTCTTAAAATTTAATTCTCTACAAAATAGGCACACTCATGAAAATTTGAAAAAAAATATATTTTTTTTTTATTGTTTATATTTATAAAAACCCAGAAAAATAATTCTCTAAAAATTATAAAAATTTAAGGAATACTTCTACTCACTTGGCTAATGACTTTGTAAAAAGAGTTTTCAGAAATAAGGTGTTTTAGATACCAAACTTGATTTTAAAAGATTAAAAGTTTTTTAATAAAATGTTGAACATAATATGATCCAAAAAGAGATTATTTAAAATATCTATAATTTACAAATATTATGATTCAATATGTTTATGATATTTAACTTGTTATGATCCAAAAATATTTTAATTCAAATATTTAATGATTCTTAATTATTATATTTTTTATGATTTAAAATTAAATGTTTCAAAAAGTATAATGGTTCAAATGTTGTACTGAACGGAAAATTTATTTAATTCAATATATTATGATCCAAAATCATATGATTTACAAATGATATGATCTAAATTACTATGATTCAAAAAGATATGATCCAAAATTTTATGATTCAAAACGATATGAACCAAATTCTGATAATCTAAATTAATATGATCTAAAGTTATATGATGCATAATGTCGTTATGATTCGATAACTTTTTATAATGGTGAAACATCACAAACTCAAACCAATATTTAGTTCAAAAAATAAAAAGAAAAGAAAATTAAAAAGAAACGACAAAAGAAAAAGAAATGAAAAAAATAGAAAAACTGAAAAACCAAGTATATATATTGATAAAATAAAGTTTAAAAAAATCAAAAATCAAAAAAATCAAAAAGTTTAAAATTTAAAATAAAAACAAAGAAAAACACTAGTATTTTCAACTATGTAGTAAACATATTTAAAAGATTGAAAATAAAAACGAAAAAAGAAATATATATATATATATATATATATATATATATATATATATATATATATATATATATATATATAAACAAAAAAATTACAAAAAAATAAAACGAAAAAAAAATAAAAACATGAAAATCGAGCATATATATGTTTAAATTTTCTATGAATTTTTTTTAACGAAAAATTAAAAAAAGGAAAAAATAAACAAATTAAATAATAAAACTCATTTAAATGACGTTCCATGAACGTTCATTGCAGATGATTATTCCCTAGAAGTCGTGTCACGTTCCATGGACGTGTATGATGTGGAAACGTGTAACGACAAAGTAAATGAGTTTCACATTTGTGCCTTGATGAAATGATTGGTAGAGAATAGTCATCGCGGTTTCTACCAATTTTTGGGATCCTACTAGATCCGGACCCCATATATATATATATATATATATATATATATATATATATATATATATATATATATATATATATATATATATATATAGAGAGAGAGAGAGAGAGAGAGTTATGTTCCAATGAGAACATTTTTCCCGTGAGAACATTTTTTAGCCTATGAGTTCAAAAAACACGCATGTTTGTTACTCAAATACAAATTATCCACCTAACTTCCCCCACCATATTATGTCATTCTCTCTCCTCTCATACGGACCTAAATTGACAGTACAGGACCACCACCGGAAACCGTCGAGAACCACCAGACCACCACCAAACCATCGGTGCCATATTTGCTCGTTCACGACCTCCCCAACTTCTAATCCTCCCACAATCGGAAGCCAACTCCTCATATGGAAAACGGAGATCGTTATGATGAAAATATGTATACAATAATTTGGAATCTGAGAAGTTGCTTGGCTGGAAAGGTAATTAATCCATGTATCACTGGAGATGGGAGTTCCTTTTTAGATATTATAATCAGCTTCATATCGTAGGAGATGGTAGTTATATCAGAGAATAAAGCACCGACGGCCACCACAACTGGTTATCAAACTATTTAGTTTGCAAGCTAATGTGCGTTGAACTGTTGATCATTGTTGGATGAGTAAATAGAGGAAATGATGGGGAAGCCATCGACAGAAAAAAAAAGCCACCATCAGGTGGAGAAACGACACTACACGTTTGAAATAGGTACATTTTCTTGACTATTTGACTTTATAATAAGATTAATATCCAATTAGAAGCCGCCCCTCTCTTATCCTCTCCGATATCGTTTCACTGGTCACCAAATGTGTGTGTTGGAATGAAAATGGGATAATCATACATTGATACTTCATATGGAAGTGGAGTTTTTTGTGT